GGGCAAACATGTCAGCTGGGCCTTGCGTTACCCACCAGCCACCCCTTTCATAATTCAGCCTTGAGCTGCCATTTGCCTCCCCACGCGCTGCAGCAGCATGCACATGGCCAACTAAATTTCACTCTTACTGAAAATACCACTCTACTATCCACACCAAAGCAACACAAACATGTAAATATATACACATACGCAAGCATTTGTAATCGTGTAAATTTTCAGTAGGGTTGATATAATGACAATACACAAGCACATCAGTAAGCAGAACAATGTAAGAAATGGGCGAAAGGCAAACCAGGAAGGAAGGGAAATGGTCTGAACAAAAAAAGAAGCTGCCAACTTCAGCAGAACCTGACAGCAGCTTTACTTGAGAATAGAAAAGTTCCTCCTTTTACATGTGATGGGGCAGGAACATCTTCTACTAGGAAGTCCAGTCCTGTTCCCCCTGAACTTCTGTTTCCATACAGACAAAGGGGATCTAAGGCTTGGCTCCACAAATGTTAATCTTAAGAAGGTTAAGCTTATGTGAATGAAGTTCAAGGCAAACAAAAAATTCCAGTGTTTCCTCATTGGAAACAGCTGTGTAAAGGGAGAGATGCAACTGAACGTCTGTTCTAGGTTCTTTGAACAGGAACACTGGGCAGGACAGGTAAATATAGCATAATGGCAGCCTTATGCTTTGCACTTTCCAGTGAACACATACCAGAAGGATGGTCAAAAAAGGAATAATTTTCAGTAAATGGGCTTTGAAGTGTGGATTGTGATTCCCGCTGCTGTTGCAGCACTCCATCTGACCTTCAGCAAGTCTTTCGGTATTTAATCTTCCCTGTTGTGCAGCATGTGGGAGAGCTGAAAAGAGGACTGTTATTAAGGATTGGGAGGTGGCACGTTACTCTGAGGTGAACGCTATACAGCTGACATCAGCAGCAGATGGCTCTGAGGCCGTATGAAATGCAGTTGCACAAACCGCATGAGCAGACGGCATATGAGAGCAATTCTGCCAGCTTTAACTAGTCTGGGCTTGGAAGAGAGAGCATTCGTGCAATGCAGCTAGGGGCCTAGAGCTATGCTGTTCCCTCAAGGCAAAGATACCTACCAGCGTATGTAAAGCAAGTTGACAAAGGTACCTTGAGGCAGGGTTGGCAAAGCGTTGAAGTCAGCTTGGACCTGCATCCCTTTTGATGGTGAGCAGTAACAAAAGAAGTCCCTTAATCTTTCTAGGCTATTACATTTATTGTATTTACTTGCATGGTTGCCGTCACCTTTCCCAGTCTTGAAGTTGTTCGGTTTCTGTACACCTGGGAGGGAGTTAGCGCTGCCAACTTTTTTTATGGATAGGGATGGAATCCAGTGCATCTTGTCCAACGTGCACTGGAAATCTGCAGTAGAGCAGGTGATTGAATGCAGGATCCCCTGGTCGTAGGTTAATGCTGAAGCAGATGGACTATTCATCTCCAAAGTTAAGCCCCCTGCTTCTCCCACATCTGTTGAGGTGCTTGCACTCTGTTTGTGTTTGAAGACAGTTTCATTTTTCCTCTGGCCTGGACATGAAAGTAACTTTGAGCAGAAGGACTGGAATGTCTGCCCGTGGCAATCCGGAGCTACACAGAGTTGGTCTCTGAGGGCCAGTCTTGTTTGTATGGGAGCTTGATTAAAGATGAGTGATAAGTTCTGTTCAAGGGAATGAAAAGCCCTTGTCTGTGTTTAAAATCACTAGCAGAGTGTTCCTCCCTATCATGGTGCTGAGTAACCAGAGCCCTGTTTGATTCGCACAGTAGAAGTAGCACTTGTGCGCTTCAGGGTTACAGTCTAATGGCAACCGTAGTAAGGGCTGGAGCTCCGTTAGTGGCAGAGAAGAGGTTTGAATGCAGTATCTGAATGCAAACTTCATATTGCTGTGAGAGGCAAAACTAAAATTCCATATCCAAGTGTTTCTAGGCAGGAAGGTTTAAAATTCTTTTCCTAAAACAATTCCTAAAGACTAGGGTGTTTGAATTGATACAGAGTGTGTGTTGCCAACTCAAATCCGAAACCCATAACAAGATCCTGTTTTGGGTCTGAGCCCAGAAAAGAAAGCACCTGTGAATTTCAGGTAAAATCCTGGACTTCTGAAGAAGGTGTTATATGGCATTGTTTCCTTGGGTTTTTTTTAAGAAGATCTAAGTGTTTGAATTTAGCTGTTTCTCATTCTTGTGACTATTAAGACTCAAAACCTGTTGAATGTTACAACATAGAGAGACATGCCTGAACTCTGCCCTTTAGGGAACTCTAGGTCTGCTTGTTGCCTCAAGGATGTAGTGAAAGGAGCCAGCCGTGTGTGGAAAGGAACATGATTAAAACGTTATTTAAAAGAAAAATAGTTTATTAGGTGGGTCTGCATGCTTTGCCACTGCATATTCATGTCATGCTAACATATGAGGCTTTCTCTAAGAAGCAATTCTGAAGTGCATTCTTGTTTCTAAGCTAGCCTCCGTGCGTGGAGTTGTCTTCATTTGCTTGTACTTATGTGACTAGTCACTACTGACTCTCCCACAGGCAGCTTGTAGGGTCATGACCTTGCTCCTATTTAAAGTTTCAGTGGAGAAAGCCAACCACAGAAGGAGCTGTATGTAGTTTTTGGCAGAGTCTCAGGACTAGTGTGTACAGGAATCTTTTTTTCCCCATCCTGTTTTTACTTTTTACAGACTCAGATAGAAGTATAAATGTTTTTTTCCTAATGCTTGCATGAAAAAGGCCCACAAAGGTTTAGAAAGCAGCTGGCTGGTCCAAAGTAACATCTTAGGGGAAGGGGAGTTGTAGTCAGGCCCCTGTGGTACAGTGATTCAGTGGGAAGATGCTGAGACACCACTTCTACTTCTTACTGGACTTCTGCAGTCTTCATTCTTCTCTGCTTATTGTGCTTCATATGGCAATCTTTATATGGGTTAGTTCAGCTGTTCTGACTAAATCTGTGGTCTGTAATTAATTCTAAGCTAAGATTCTGGTCTTTTCTTGTCCTTCATGGCTTGGGTGGGCAAGATCTCAGCTGGGTCCCTTTAAATTTAAGAACAGGATCTGTGTTTGACCTTGACCAAGCTCAGTTGTTTGCTGGTGCTGTGACCCATACAATACATGTTTTTGTGAGACTGTTTCATTGCTTTGAAGAGCTAGCTTGAGCTCAGACCATCTATCTGCCAGATGCCAGCTCCTGAACCCGTTTCTCATGTGTGCTGAGGGCTGTGAAGAGCCTCTTTCTTGCGATCGTATCTCCTGTAAGATACTTGGTTGTGAAAGGGTATGGCAATAGGTCTGCTAGGTAAGGTACAAGAATTAGACTTCGTGACCTCTGCTTTCACCATGAGGCTGAGCGTGTTGGTAAAGGAATTAGGCTGTGACAGGAGTTTCACAGACTGTAATTTCCTGCTCTGACAGTTTTGTATGCAAAGGATGAAGTATGTCCTCCTTGCAGTGGAGTATGGTGGAGCATTGATCTATTCAGATGCCTGCATCCTAGCCTTGAGCTACATATATCTTAGGGAGTATGAATTATTCAGTAAATTCAAAATGGGAGACTGTCCAAGAAGATGCTATGAGGAAAGAAGCGGAATTTGGATATATGCGGGGAAAAAGCATTATGGCTTTTGTTTCTTAAGCTGCATGCCTAGTCCCAGGTGGCCGTTGTCTCTCTTCTTTACTGAAAGACTGCCTCAGTTTCCCAGTTCAGTGAATTGCTTCTCAGAGAGCCACAAAATCCTTCCCAACACATCTCATTTTACCTTTTGCTTTGCAAATCAGCGTGTGATCCATGAGTGCGTCTAGGCCAGGAAACAATTAATAGCAAGAGAAAGTACTTCCTTGGCTTGCAGGCAGCTCCCAGCTTGCTCCTTTCCCCAGATTAGTGAGGATTTAGGAGGCACGCATTCTGTGTACGCTAAATCAGTTCTGCAGAAACCACCGCATACCTTCGTCCTGCTCTTATCTCTGAATTCCACGGACAGGCAATCTCAGCTGCTCAGTGCAGGCTGGCAGCTTTAGCTTGCCAGTAGGTACTGAAAGGCATGTAAGCGTGGAAATGACAGTGACACAACGGCTAAGATGTTATCTCTGTAGCAAAGCCAAAGGCAGTTTCCATGGAGATGGAGAAGCGCCAGGCCACTAGCGATGCAGCTGCTGTGTTGGACAGGATCAGTAGCCTTTTTATACAGAGGCTGCTCCAATAAAGCTTTTATGTGTTTGTGTGGCCATCGTTAGGTTGTATCCAGCTCTGGAACATAAAATGAGGGGTGAGGGGAAGATTTAAACTGACTGAAGTGGGTGCTGACCTAAAAAGAAAATGGGAAAAGAAGGGTCAAAATGTTGTAAGTCTTGGAGCAGCCACAAGTGACAGATGTTTATGACAGCTTGAGTGCATTTGATATTCTGTGCATTTGATAATTCTGGTCAGTACTTTCCTGAGATATTGCGTGCCAACATTAATAGCTCCTAAAGTTCTTATTTCAAGTGGAAGAGTCAGATTCATGTCCCCAAGTCTTAACTCCTCTTCAAAACGTTCCTTCCGAATTGGATCCAAAATCAGAATGGGTCTCTTTCTATACTGAGACTAGAAATTCCTAGGGACTTGGGGAAAGTGGATGATCTTGTGACTTCTGCATCTCAAGCACTAAAATGTCCTACGATTCACTTGGTCCCCCTTTTGGGTAAAAATCTCTCAATACCTCAGCACAGGTATGTGGAATCCATTTCGTACTCTTCCTGTAGGGTCTTACAACCTGTGCTTTCAGTTTGCTTATTGCTGGGACAGCAGGTACATCTCCAGGTTCCCACACTGGAAGTGCATATTTTGCACTTCTGCTTTGATCTTTTACTAACCTGTGCTTTGTGGGTGCTGCAGCACATGAATAGGAATTGTGTGTAAAACTGCTCAATTAAAATAATCATTTGACCATTTTTACCCACACTTTTGGTGGTTTTAAACACTGGTTGCTTTCTTAGATGCTAAAATAGATTTATATTCTGTCTTTCAGGTGGTGCAGGGGACCGGGAAAAGATGCCTGTCAATCATGAGGCTTTCCTGCTCATGGCTAATTCCCAGAATGAAATGGAAGATTGGGTGAAAGCCATCCGACGGGTTATATGGGCTCCATTTGGTGGAGGTATTGCAAATAGCTCACATGCACATAAATTAAAACATTTGCCTCAAGGTAAAACATATTCTTGTGATACTAGGATATGTGTAACACTGCAAAATCACTGAGATGCCTAGATAAGCTCTTGATTGTCTGAAGTGTTTTGCAGGAAAGGGATTGGGTTGATTTGATTTTTTTTTTTTTTTTTTTTTTTTGCCTGGGGGTGGAGGG